TAGTCACACGGCATTGTCCAACTGCCCAGAAAGCAGGAAAAGTTGGCTTTATTCTGGGGATGGGCGCCCAGCTGCCATCAGCTGTGCCCTCGCAAGAGGGAGAACCTGTCAGTGCCCAGCAGGGGCTTCTCCAAAGGGGGCCACCACACGGCTGTCTGGTATGGGGTGGGACATGGCACCCGGAACTGTGGCCTGCCTACAGGGGATGTGGCCGTGGAATGGATGGGACTTCCCCCCACCACCCCGTGGACCTGTGTGCCTCAGCTCTGCACCCTCCCCTTGAGTGACAGTCCCTGCGTCCCTGAGAATGACCTGTTTGATTCCTCCCCACCCCCTCCCTGCTACTACTCCCCTGCCTGCCCCCAGGTGCCCCGAGTTGTCTGTCCAGCCTTGCCCTTCCCCGTGGAAACACCACACCCTCCAGGAAACCGCACATAGCTGGGCAAGGTCCCTCAGCTGAGTGACACTTCAGTGGCCCAGGATGGAGACCTGGGTGCCACTCTGGGATGGGGGACATGGTAGGTCACGCTGGCTGACATGGAGCAAGGGATGGGAAGGGGGGAGGGGCACAGGAGGCTGAGTGATGGGCCAGCACCACTGGCCTGGGGAGGGCTGGGGGGCCTGGAGAGGGGGCCACAGGAGAGCTGCTGTGTGGAGGAGGGACGGAGCGGGAGTTCACTGGGTCCTGGGAGGCAAGTGAGGTGCGGCTGGGGGCACGTCTGAGATGGGGCAGAGCTGGGTTTGGCCCCTGGGGCTCATCCTTGCCTCTGCAGGACAGGGGTGGGCGCAATGGGTCCCCCCGAGCTTTGAGAAGGAATCGGCAGCGTCCGCGGCAGGAAGGAGCAGCAGCAGACCTGGCAAGGGCGCAGGATGGGCTGTGGGCGGGCAAGAGGGTGGTGTGATGGGCGGGGGAAGGGAAGGCAGCGTAGACAGCTCTTTTGGTAACTTGGGCTCTGAAAGGAGGCCACACTGCAGGCAGCCGGAAGAAGCAATCCCGGGTCGGGTGGAGACACTAGAGTGTATTTGGACTCCAGTACAGCCCGGCAAGGAGGGGTGGAGGTCCTGGGGCTGTGCCAGTCGTCATGGCACTGACACCAAAGTGGGACCGTGGGGGGGACAGGAATGAGGTGCCAGCAGGGCCACCGTTGAAAGGGGAGGGGAGGGCTGCGGCAGGACGGGCAGGTGGCATGAGCCTGGTGTGGGGCGGTGGGCACTGGGCATCCTGAGCGGGGAAGTGAGCACAGTGGGCCAGGGGCACGCCGCAGTCCAGGTGTGTCCCCTGAGGGTTTGGCCGTGACTGGGTAAGGCCGAGGGTCCCCAACACGCCCAAACGGAACAAAGCTGGTTAAAGTTAAGTGGGACAGGCAGGCAGGGAAATGGGTGCAGCTGCTAGGGTGCTCTGCAAGGGTGGCAGGTCTGTTAGCAGCCCCTGCAACCCCTCCCCTTTTTAACAGGAATGAGAGCGCATCCGCTAGAAAAACTACATTTCCCAAACTCCCTTGGCTAGGAGTGGTCATGTGACCAAGTTCTGGCCAATGAGATGTGAGCAGCTGTTACATGGGCTTCTGGAAATCACCTTAAAAGGAGGGAGTTGTGCCCTTCTTTTCTCTTCCTGTTTGCTGCCTAGAACGTGGATGTGATGGCTGGAGCCTCACCCTCTATATGGGTCCATGAGGATGAGGGCTCAGCCCAGCCAGGATGAGGCAGTGGAGAGTTGGACAGAGCTGGCTCTCCAAGGACCCTGGGAAGGTGTCCTAGCTGCCCAGGGCTGCCAAAGGCCAGCATTCCCTCACACAAGAGAAAATAAACTATCTCCTTTCAACTTCTGTTCATTCAGTTTTTCTCTTTCATGCAACCAAAGCCTAACACACAGCAAGGGACCACAGCCAGCCAGCTGTGGGCTGGGCACAAGGAGGGGAGGAAGGTGGGGCTCAACAGTCCCTGGGCAGGAGACTGGGGGGCAGTGTGGGGAGGGGAGCCCCCCAAGGAGGGCTCTGGGTGCCTGTGCTTGTCCGGGCTCATACCTGCAGGGGCTGTGTCTTGCTTGCTCCTTCCACGTGATGGAAACTACTTGAGTACCATTCTGGGATTGGGGGTGGATGCTGTCTGGGGTCAGGGCTGGTCGTAGGGGCTGGAGGAGGGCCTTCCCAGAGTACATGAAGATCCTGGGGGCTGTGCCAGTTCTCATGGCACTGACAACAAAGTGGGACCATGGGGGGGACAGGGATCAGGTACCAGCAGGGCCACCACTCCCCTCCGCTTCCAGCTCAGGAACCCCAAGCTGAGAACTGGGCAGGCAGGGGCCCCCCATAGCCTATTGGGAGCAAGGGTGGTAGGGCCACCTGGAGGGTCCCTGGGGAAGCAGCCAGAGGAGCCTGCACCCCCAAGTTCCCCAGGTCCGCGGCGGGTTCTGAGCACCTGATAGGAGAGGGAGCGGGGGTGCTGGGGTGGGAGCTGGGCCTGTTGGCACCTCCGGGAGGGGCAAGGGCACCCAGGCCGGGGCCAGGGCCTGTTTCTTCCCATGTGACCATGTGCAGATACCCGCAGCTCGGATGCCACTCGAGTGTGGGGAGGCTCAGATGGGCTGACACAGGGCCCAGCACATGGTAGGCATGCACCAAAGAGAGACTGGAGGGGCCCAGGGAAGTGACAGGGAGCCGTCCCTGCGCTCGCAGCAGGGCCCGCACAGGTGCTCAGAGCAGCCCAGTGTATGCCTAGCGCGTGGGCCAATCATGGCTGTGGTATCCGCTCAGGGCTGAGTCTGTGAGCCCGGAGGTGGAGCCGGGCGGGCGCGGGGGAGGGGGGCGTTGATTCCCTGCCTCATGGCTTCCAACGGCCCCCTGCACCGGTGTCCTGAGCCGCGGGGGACTGATGTTGAAGGGTCCAGCAGTGTGGCCGCCTTGTTTCTGGGCGACCTTGGTGAGTGAGGGCAGGATGTGGGATGGGGAGAGGAAGGAGGCCGGAGCTGTCGAGTCTCGAGTCTGAAACTCCCTCCCTCCTCCTCCTCTCCTGCCCCACCGTGGACAACGCTGCAGGACCAGGCCTCGTGGAGGGTCGGGGGCACTGCCCTTCCCTGACCTCTCTCTCTGTTCCAGCAGGTTCCGGCCCAGCAAGGTGGGCTTAGGGGAGGCAGGGGACCCCTGAGGGACAGGTGTCCGGCTCCTGCAAGGTCCTGATGGTTTTGCCCTCCTCTGGCCTCTCCCCCCAGCTCCTAGAAGTGGAGGCTGTGGCTTCTTGCTTGGCAGCCCCTGGCATCCTGTTTGGGCTAAGTGCACAGTAATGCTGATGATTCGAGGCCGAGAGCCCTCTGGAACCTTCTGGAGCCTTCTGGGTCTCCTCTGTCAGCTGTCTACACCCTGGAGGCCCAGGCCTCAGGGGTGTCCTCACCCTTCTGCACCCCGGCCAGTTAGATTCGGGGACAGTCCTGCTGCCCGCAGGTTGGGTGGAGGATTCGGATGGCGGCTATAACCACCAGCTGCGAGAATACTCCGAGAATTTCAGCAGCGTCCGCCCCGAGCTGACGGGGAGGGCAGAGGCGGAGTGGTGCATGGGGCGGGGGCTCGGGTCTGAGCCAGGTGAGGAGCCGCCTGCGGGAGGCCAGAGGCCCAGGCGGCGGGGGCTGCAGCAGTGGGCAGGGCGGTCCCAGCTGCCTCCGCCCCTCCCCGCTGCGCGGTGGTCGGGGGCTGCTCCTCCCCCACCCTTTGCCCACAGGTAATGGAGAGGACAACGTGGGGCGCCCTCTCGTAGGTGAAGGCGGTGCGTGCGCGCCGCGGCTTCCCGGACTTGGGCCTGGACGGCGGTGGCTGTCACTCACCCGCCGCAGGGTCGTCCTTCTCCCCAGCCCTAGCCTCAGCCCCAGCCCTGCCCACGGTGGTGGGTGATGGGCTGAACAGCGCAGGGAGGAGTCTGAGAGCTCGCTAGTCGCACATGGAGAGGGATGTCCCCTCTGCGGGCGCAGGGCTCGGCCGCGGAGCAGCCAGGGGGCGGGGCAGGCGCACGGCTTCACCGCGCTGGCGTCCAGCGACCATGGACACCCACCTTGAGTGCCGGCGGGGCGGCGGGGGGGACCCCCTCACCGCGCGGCAGTGCCCGCGTCCCCCAGCCTCGGCTCTCGCCTCGAGTCGGCCACCCGGGCCAGGCGCCGCCGCCTCTCGCCTCCCCTCTCTCCCCAGGGCTCCAGGAGCCCGCGTGGGGACCGCGCCCAGAGCCGGGCTGCAGGCTGTTGGAGGAGAGGTGGCCGCGCCGGACTCCCGCGGGCCGGGCTCAGGCGCCGTTGGGCAGGTTGCTCCATCCCGACCAGCCCCAGCTTTCCTCCACTGGGAAGCGGCGGGAGGCCCTCCTCCTCGGGCCGGCCTGGTGCTCAGGGGAGGCCGCGCGGATGCGCATTGGGGCGGGGGCAGGGTCGGCGCCCGGCGCCAGCGCTGCCCCCAGGCCCTACCGCGCGGGCACCTTCCCGCTGGGCTTCCCTCACCCTCAAGCGCCCCGAGCGGAGGAGGGGGGAGGGAAGGGAAAGAGCGGGGACACGGGACTCCTGGACCGGAGCCTCAGCTCACACAGCACCGAGGCCGCGCGCCTGTTCCCAAGCGCGTGTGGGGACCCGGGCAACGCAGGATGGGGCAAGCTTGGCCACGGGACGCCGTGCGCCGGGTCGAGCACCCCGGAGCGCCTCGGTCGCGCCGAAGTCCCCACCGAAGGGCGGGGAGGAGGACGGGGCGCGGGCGACGCGTGAGCCTGAGGGACTTGGGCGCGCGGCCTCCTGCGGTTTATTGATTGAGTTCGGCAAAGTGCTTCCCAGAGGGCCGACCTTGGGCCCAACGCGCGCGGACAGTCGTTTATAAATTTAAAACTCTTGTAGCAATCGGCTATATACAGAGTCAGCGACCGCAGCCTTACAAAAGGGCCGACCGGCGGGCGCCCTCGGGTCCTGGGCGCGGCCTCAGGGGCGCGAGGGCCGCGTGGGGCTGCCCGGCCCAGCGTCTCGTCCTGATCCGAGGCCGTGCTCAGAGGTGCGGCGCGTAGAAGGCGGGCGCGCCGTAGGTCTGCGAGCCCAGCACGAAGGGCGACAGCACCGCCGGGCTCGACAGAAAGGGCAGCTGTGCGGCGCACACCAGGCCGCCGGGGCCGTGCGCCGGGTACCCGGCCGGGCCGTGCATGGCGATCGGCGCGCCCATGGGCGGCGACGGGCTGAGCGGGCTGAGGCCACCGGGCAGCCCCGCACCCGGCCCGGAACCCGGCCCCGGTCCCCCTCCGCCGCCGGTCGGCGCGCTGGTATCGGCGCCCGGGTTCTGCTTCTTCCACTTGGTGCGGCGGTTCTGGAACCAGATCTTCACCTGCGTCTCGGTGAGGCTCAGCGACAGCGCCAGGTTGAGGCGCTCGCACACCGACAGGTAGCGCGTCGCCTTGAACTTGTTCTCCAGCGCCACGAGCTGCTCGTAGGTGAAGGCGGTGCGCGCGCGCCGCGGCTTCCCGGACTTGGAGTCGGAGCCCGTGCGCTTCCGCTTGGGCTTCGTCGCCGTCGCCGCGCCCTGCGGGGTCGTCCCCGCGTCCCCGGGCGCCGCCGAGGCTCCCGGCGGGCCCGGGGCTCCGGGCGAGTTCCCACGGGGGCCGGGGACAGCGGCCTCATCGACAGCGCCTGGGGGCGCCTCGGCCTCGCCCTGGCAGCCCGACCCGCGGGCCCCGAGGCCGCTGCCGCCTCCCCGCGCCGCCCCCGCCTCGGGCGCCTCGTCCTCGTCCTCGTCGTCGGGCGCCTCGTCCCCGCTGTCCGCGCTCGGGCTGCGGCCACCGCCGCTGCTGTAGCCGTTGGCCTCGGCCTCGTCCGCCTTGCAGGGGTCGCCGGCGTCTGCGGGCGGGGACGGGGCGGGGAGGGAGGACAGCACAGTTAGGACCCGGCGCCCTCCCTTCCGCTCGCTCGCCCCTCCGGCGCCCTGCTCCCCTTAACGAATCCCTTTTCCTGTTTCCGTTGCTTCTCTTCTTGCCTCCCTTTCCCCTTAGCGCATTCGTTTCCCTGCCCTCTCCCCTCCTTTTCTTCTCACCCTCCCACGCTTTCTCTCTCCGTCCCCTGTGCATTCCTTCTCTCCAGAGGCCCCCCTTCCCGCCATCTCCCGAGCCCTGCGCCTTTGCCCCAGCCGGGCAGGACGGGGCCGCAGAGCTTACGGCAGAGGGAAAGATCCCATCGATCCATGGGGCAGATACAAACTTAATTAAACTCATTTTGCGTAATGTACAAACTAGTTAACGGCCATTTAATTTATTTCAGCGTACATTACCCTCCAATTACCACAAGGCTCCAACAGAGCCAGCCAATTACTGGGCACTTAAGAGTGGGCCGGGCCAGAGTCCTGGGGTAAGGTTGGAGCCCGCTGCGAGGAGGCGATTTCCGGGGACCAAAAAAGTTGCCCTGGATCCATCCCTACCTCAAGACTTGGGGCCCTGGAACTTGGCCACCCTTGGCCCCTCGGCTGAGACCCCAGCAGGTCCAGGCTGGTCCCGACCAGGGACCAGCGGGCAGTGGGGGTCTAGAGCAGTGCTGAGGCCAGCCGGGATGGGAGTTCCCACTAGGTCAAGTCTGAGCAGCATCTCCGGATCCTCCAAGCAGAGGCCCGCGCGGTGGCCGCAATGTGAATCTCAGAAATTTGGAAGAAAGCATCTGCCCCGGTCAGGGCCCAGCAGGGGTGGCGGGGAGGGGAGGGAGGGCGTTTCTATGCAGCCCCTGCTCCCACAGGTGGTCATACAACCAGGAGAGAAGCCAGGGCAAGCGCCCAACACCATGCCGCCCCGTCGGGCACCAGGCCCCGGTCAGGTTGGCACGGAGAACTGGAGAATAAAGGACAAATTCAGTCCGATTCCTCCAGGGTGACCACGGGCTGCGTGGAGGCCGGCAGGGCAGATATCCTGGCCCCCACGCATACCCCTTAGCAGGAGGAGAGACGGTCCCCCAGGTGACCCTGACAGCTCCTGCTCTGTCCAGGGGTGGGCTAAGGAGGGACCCTGACCCAGCTCCCTCCCTAAACTACCAAGAAACTGGGCCTTCCGACTGGGATGTCTTCCCCATTTGATGGAGGCTCCAGGTGGAAACTCCCAGAACCCTGGCCAGGCCGAAAGCCTGAGGGGCTCCCCTCCAGCCTTCCCGAGATTGTTCCTCTTTCATCTCCGCCCAACCGGGAGGAAGCCCAGTGCAGGTGCTGGGAGGCCCCTCGCCTGAAAAGGCCCACCCGAGCCCTGCCGGCCCTGCGCGCCTCTCCCCGCGGGGCAGAGGGCCCGGGAAGTTGGAGGGAGGAAGGGCCGGCGGAGGGGGCACCGAAAGCAATCAGGAGCCGGTCGAATGCAATTCTCGATCAATAGCGGCCCCTAATAAGTGTAATAGGTTTTAATCGAGTAATTATCCGAATTTTGACCCTATAATTTAGATGTTCGGGGGGAGTTTGCAAGGTGCTTGAAAGAGATATGCATGCAGCCGTAATGGGATATCGACCAGGCCGGGGTTGCGGGCCGCCCCATTACCGGCCGCTTTCCGCCGCTAAGCACATTTCCCCTTAACTGTAATCGAAGGGATTTAATTGTTTTTCCAGAGATAACCAGCGTTTTGTCACAATTAGTCTGATTTGTCCAAAAAAAAAAAAGAGAGAGAGCGGGAAAAAAAAAAAGGAAATAAAAGAATGGAGGGAGGGACGTCTCCGGAGGCTGCGGTGGGAGTGGGGAGGTCACGGGCTAGCCGCCGCGCACGACTCCCCCTCCTCTGCCACCTACTGCCCTCCAATGCCGGGGGTGCGCGGTGGCCAAACCTGGGCCGGCCATGCAGTTCGTAGCCCTGGGCCCGGCCTGGGGGAGGCATCTCGGGAGGCACCGGGCGGTGCGGGCCCTGGAGTCCGGGTCGGACGCAGGCGGCGGGAGGGCTGGTGCGGGCCCCGCGCGCTGCGAACTTTCCACCGAGCCTTGGCGCCGGGCCGGTCAGGTTCGCCGAGGGGTCCCGGGAGCGCAAACGCGTAGACGCGGCCCGTCCCTCTACCCCCGCGACCCGGCACCGGCCGTGCCCTACTCACGCGGCGGCTCAGCTCCGGTACCGGCTCCAGCTCCTCCGGCGGCGGCGAGGGCACGACGCTCCAGCTCCTCTGAGCGCGGCGGGCGTCCCGGGGCGGCGGGGGCCGGGGCGCACGCCGCGGGCGCCACGGGGCCCAGCAGCACACAGCGGCGTCTTCTGCTGTTGAACTTGTTGGGGTCCAGGATGTCCAGCACCGAGAAGGAGGTGGGGCGCGGCGGCGGGCCGGGCCGGGCCGCCCCAGCCCCCTCGGGCGCCGCGGGCACCGTGTCGCTGGCGGCGAGCGGCGGGGCTCCGGCCCGCGGGAAGGCGGGCAGCTCAGCGCGCCCGTCCATGGCGTCCCGGGCGGCGGCGGCGGCGGGCGCGGGCGGTGCGGGCCCCGAACCGGGCCCGGGCGGCGGCGGCGGCAGCGCGGGGCCGTCCCCGGTAGCCGCCGGGCCGCTCGCGCTCATGCCGGCCTCCCGCCGCTCCGGCCGCTCGGGCCCCTCCGGCTACTGGGCTCCCATCCCCGGCGGCCCGGGCGCCGCCGCACGGTCTCGCACCGGCGGCCGCGGCCGCGGCTCGGCTCGCTCCCCGTGCCGCCCCGCGCTCGCCCGGTGCTGCCTGGCGCCGCCGCCGCCGCCGCCGCCTCAGGCGCCCGCCGCGCCCGGCCCGCTCATTTATGGCGGACCCGCCGGCGGCGCCCACGCGCCCACTCGCCGCACACACGTGCGCCCGCAGGCGGCCGCGGGCTCCGCCACCCTCGTTAGCGCGCGCGCCTAATTGGCTGCGAACGGTCCTGGGCGGAGGAGGCGGGTCCCGCGCGGGACACACGGACTGCGCCCCGGTCCCGACCGACAGACCCACAGCCCGGAGCCGGAGTGCGCTCCGCGAGCGGCTGTCGCGGTTCGCGGCGTGCCGCTGCGCCTCCGCTGGTCCGGAAACGGCGCGCCGGCCTCCTGGGCGGAGGGGGAGGGGACAGCCCCGGCTTTTAAATAATTGCGGGATCCGTCTGCGGAGAGGCCGCGGAGGCCCCCGGGCGCGCCTTAAGAGTTGGCTGGGGCATCCCGGCGGCCGGCCGGCCTCACTCCCCGCTCCCGGCGCTCGGGGCCCTGGCGCCCTGGCGGCTCCCGAGGCTTCGGTGCCCCTCGGCGGCTGGGGCGAGGAGTGGGGTCCTCGCGGGCCGACTCCCGGGGTCTTCGCCGCGTCGTCAGCCCCCTCCCAGGCGTTCCGTGGACCTCGGTCCCGCCTCTCTCCGTCGCTCCGCTCGAGGTCTCCTCCCGTGTCTCGGGGTCTCCCTCGCTCAGGGTCTCCGGCCCTCTGTCCCCTCCCGCCCCTGCGCCCTTCGCGTCGTCAAATTAGGGCCCAGCCTCGAGACCCCGCCGGGGGCGGGGCCGGCGGCCCCCAGGGTCGCTCATTAGACGTGGAATCGAAAATGGGGACGGCTGGAGGGTCCTCCCGCCCCGCCCCCGCCCCCGCCCCCCCAAAATGGGGACCGAAAAAATCGTACAGACGGCAGGAGGCCTACACAGAAATCGATAGCCTCAAGGAAGGAGAAACGTCGCAGCAAACCCCCCCCTTCCCACGCCCGGAGAAATAAGTCCTTTGGTCCGGGTCTTTATGTGTGCACATTTGTCTACAGCGGCGAGGTTTGCACCCCAGGGCCCTGGCCCTCGGGGTGGAGACCCCGGCTGGCGTCCGTGGGCGGAAGCGCCGCTGCTCCCTCTTCCCTGCGCCCGCCAACGGGCACACCTGACGACCGCGGGACCCAGGCGGGAGCCGGCGGTGGGAGCGCGCGTGCGAGTGTCTTCAGGGTGTGCGGCTGTGTGCGCGCGGGCGTGTGCATGAGCGGTGTGCGCCGCCTCACACTGCGGTCCCCGGAGCCTGCTCTGCGCACAAGGACGGGTCCTTTGCAATTACCGCGGGCAATGATCCTTTGGAAGCAGAAATTAAAAGTTGGGAGAAATAATGGGGGACCGATTGGCTGTAATTTGGGCCAAGCTCGGACATGCTTAGCCTCGAGGAGGCGGGGGAGGGGAAGGGGAGGCGGGGGGGGGGGGGGGGGGCAGGCAAGACCTCCCCTCCCCCAGCCGGTCCCCTCCCCCGCGTGCTGGTCGGTCCCGAGATTCCAATCAGACCCACAACACTGTGTCCTTTCTTGCCAGGACTTGATTATTCTTTATCTTTAAATTATAAATCACCTCTGGGGGAAGGAGGGTGGATAATCTCTCATCACAGAGAGGTAATTATCTCCTTCCTACCCCCACCTTCCTGGAGGGACTCTTAGGCTCTCTCCACCCCTCCCCCAGCAAAGTTTGAATATAGATGTGCACACGCATTCACACGCACTCACACACGCAAACACACGCATTCTCCAGCACGCGCCACACGCGAGCGCAAATCCATTCATGAGCACCTGGGCACACGGTGTGGAGCTTGTGGCTCACAAATGCACCCACCAGCTCCGGGCTGGTCTTGGAGGAGGGGCACACAAGGTCCCCTGTCCCCTGAGCTGCTGCCTGATCCCGCATGAGGCACAGCTACTAGGCACCCTAAGGGGCCAAGTCCCAAGGGCTGGGCCCTGACCTGGCTCTGGGTGGCCGAGTCTCAGTGTGACATAGTGTCACAAGCCTCTCAAAGGCATGCTCACGCTCCATGCCTGTCCCTCCGCAGGTCACCAGGCGAGGCACAAACGCAGCAGTCCAAACCGCCACACCTTGCTGGGTGCGCAGGGGGCGGGCAGGGGTCTGCTTTCACCCCCGTTATACGCACACGTGAGGAAGAGATACATGAGCTCTCTCGGTACAACTTTCATTCAACATGAACACAAACACACACAAAATGACGTCATATGACGTGGATGTAGTATAATGTATGGTGATTACCACTAAAGCATAGTAAGTAGAATACAATGTTAGGTACGATGTGTAATAAGCATGATGGAATACTATACTGTAATACAAAACCACACTGTGCCCCCCTCCAGAGCACGTGCCCACACTCAGCACAGCAAAGTGCTCTCCCTGCCGAGAGGGCTGGGCTGATCAGGGCTGAGTGCTGCTTGGATGAAAGCACTGTGCCTGTCCTGGAGTTTGCAGGTCCTTCCCTCCCCTTTCCTCCCTGCCCCTAAACATTCTACTGGGAGCTTGGCAGGCAGGGAATGAATTGCAAAGTCTGCAGTCTTCAGTCTGGAGCAGGGGCAGGGCAGTGGGGTGTGAGGGGGACCTCCAGAGCTACACAGGAGACCTCGGGGCGCTTTCCCACGGGGAGGGGGGTGCTGTGCCTGGACAAGGGTCAGGAAGATCGCGGCATCCTCTACTGCCCCACCCCTCTCCCATCTCTAAGGAGGAGCAACCTGTCGTGGAGATGCGCACACCCCTCCTCCTCTCCCAGATACCTGGAAACAACCTCCCATCTCCCCGACTTCAACCTAGAGCATCTGGGTCTATAAAGACGTCCTTTTGCTCCTAATCACAATTGATTGTCAATTAGACCGTCATTTGTGCAATCTCTGCCCATCTGCCATATCAGGTTATCTCCAAGCCACCAGCTTCACTTGTGGGGCCCCAGGTGGGCAGTGACAGGTGAAATCAGTGCTTAAGTTGGGGATGCCTCCACCCACCCAGTGGACAGGAAACGGCCTTCGCAGCTAAGCCCCCACACACTGCACATTAGTCAGGGCCAGATGGGGTCACTGGCGGGCTGGCGGGGGGGAGGGTGTCAAGGCAGGAACCGACATGGACAAGGGTAGAAATCTGGGGAGAGACGGGTGACAAAAGGCCTTCAAAGTGGACCCGGGAACATGAGTGAGTGGGGGCTGAGATTATGCAGAAGAGGGGAGGGAAGGGAGGTGTTGGAAGGGGAGGGAAGGGGGAGAGCGGGGCACTCAATCTTTTCAGCCCATCGCCAGTATCCTCTCCTCAGCAACGGAGTTTTGGGAGGTTCTGGAGCAGGAGGGAGATCCCACCACCTCTGCCATTAACTCACCATGTGTCTGTGAACCCCCTCCTCCATTTTTCATCTGTGAATTATGGGGGTTGGATTCCATATGACCTCTAAGGTCCCCATATCCTCCGCTCGAAGGTCGAAGGGCGACAAGTTTACAGCCTTCATTGTACATGGTGGTGGGGTGAGGGGCCTCCCTTCTCATCTTGCACCTGGAAGGGCAGCAGTGCTTAGGTGTCCCCAGGGCGCCTGGATAAGTAACCCCCAATTTGAATGATGTTAGATTCATGCAAAGCTCACCCCACTCCAGACCGCCCAGGGTCCTCTAAACATCGCTGTGAAATATGCAGGGCAGGGGTTACCACCCCCTCTGCAAATTAATGCCTCAGCTCCTCCAGTCCGCCTGGGTCCCGCGGCTGACGCTGTGCTCTCTCTGAACGGGCTACTGTCCTGTGCACGTGTGGGAGGGGGCAGAGGTGGAGGCAGAGCCTGGAGACAGAAGCCCCCGTGCTCTCTCCTCTTGCCTGTCCATCCCCAAACGACCCACACAACCACTTTCTCACCTGGAGTTTGGCAAGTGAAAGGGGAACTTTCTGCTTATTTGTTTCCTCATCTTCTCTAAGGTATAACTCTCCTGGGGTCTCCTGACTATTCGAGAAAGGGTACCCTACACTCAGAACACCAGAGAAGGGAGAGAATACGGGCTACTGAGCTGCAGATCTGGGGACAAGAGGGCCCCAGCCCCGCGCAGCCCGGGCGTCGGGGCATCTTCAGAACCATGGGCAGCGCGCGCGGAGCCCATGTTCAACACCGCGGACAGCGCCCCAGGCCCCAGGCGCCTTCGCCTCCCGGCACCGTCAACGCGCTGTCAGCAGCCCATTCACCTAGGCCAAACCACGACCTACCAAAGGGCAGGGGTTTTCACTGCCTGGGTTTGAATCCGCCTGCTTGTAAGCTGCATGAGTTCAGAGATAAGGAGCATGTAGCGCTGGGCCTGGTTGGAGGCAAGGAATCAGATACAAAGGTGAGGTTTAAACAGGGCTTCCCTGGTGGCGCAGCGCTTAAGAATCCGCCTGCCACTGCAGGGGACACGGCTTCGAGCCCTGGTCCGGGAAGATGCCGCGGAGCAACTAGGCCCGTGTGCCACAACTGCTGAGCCTGCGCTCTAGAGCCCGCGAGCCACAACTACTGAACCCGAGTGCCACAGCTGCTGAGGCCCGCATGCCTAGAGCCCGCGCACCACAACGAAGAGTAGCCCCCGCTTGCCCAAGCCTGCGTGCAGCAATGAAGACCCAATGCAGCCAAAAGTACAATAAATTTTTAAAAAGATCCATAAACCCTTTAAACAAAACCAAAAACAAACAAAAATCAACAATGGGAGTGATTTCAGGCTGTGGGGGACCAAGGGTGCTGGTGTGGAGGCAGGGGCACCTGACTTCAGCACCCGGGCTGTAGACACAGCGGCCAGCTCCCTCTCCCGGCCTCAGAGGGCACCCTGGCTCCAACAGGCTTTCTGACCAGAGGGCAG